AGATATATTTGTGGGGAGCTGGCGTGTGTGTTGGGTAAGAGAAAGTCCCTTCTTGCCACTTTATGGCCTTCCTCTCCTGGGAGAATAGCAGCCTCTAGCGGCTTGTGCTGGGCAGCTGCGTGCAGACGGGGCTTCTGATCTTGCCTGGCCACTAATGGAGTTTAGCGCTGCAGTTACTGTGGGTGTAGCCTGCCTCAGGCTGCTTCTCCAATATGGCAGAGCCACGTCAGAGGGGAAACAGGTGAGAGGCTGTTTATTGCGGTGAGGGGCCTCCATGCTGCGCTGTGGGGGTTTGGGTGCTGAGTTCCCCATGATTCCCAGCTGCTGTGCTGTGTGCTCTGGGGCACTTCTGTCCAGCCGTGGGGTCCCTGTCCCTTTAAGACTTCCAAAAAGCACTCGCTTTTCTTTGTCCCGGGGGTGCCAGCTGCAGGAACCCGCTCACAGGTCTTACTGTCCCGTTTCCCTAGTTTCCAGCACCCCATGCATGCACTGTGTCTGTGCTCTGGTGAGGATGGCTGGGGCTAGGTGTTTAGCAGTCCTGGGCTCCCTCTCCCTCCCTGCTCTGATTCCTCTCCTCCCACCATGAGCTGGGGTGAGGGGTGCTCAGGTCCCACCGGGCTGCGGCTTGTATCTTACCCCCTTCGTGAGGCGCTGGGTTCTTGCAGGTGTGGATGTGGTCTGGCTGTTGTCCTGTGTCTTCTGGTCTCTCTTTTAAGATTAGTTGTATTGTTGTATTTTCAAAAATATATATGGTTTTGGGAGGAGATTTCCGCTGCTCTACTCACGCCGCCATCTTGGTTCTCTCAACTAAGAACATTTTTACTGGCTAAAAATATGATCTGATTATGCAGTACAAAATTGCGAGCATGAATATCTGTCCTTCTATAATGAGCTGTTTTCAAGTATATTTGTTTATTTTTTGTTCATTTTGTCTAAAAGAGCAGTGAGTGCTGTGCTGTAGTTTTAGGTAAAATGCATACTGGTTAATTATGAATTGGGAAGCCTATTGCTATCCTATTTTTCTCAGGAGGTTACAATATTCTTCAAGAGAAGAGTTGGAGAGTTCCCAGAATAGAGGAAAAAGTCATTTCCTGATCTAAATTCTAATGAACAGGGAAAAACAAAATCTCACACATATACATGATTTATTGAAGTATATACAGTAAAATTAATTGGATCCCTCAATAAAATGTGCCCAGCTGTCAAAGATGGATTGGTTTAGATTGATGTCAGACTTCTCTTTTGAAAAGCGATGCCTGAGAAAGTTTCTGTTGTAGGATTGAATATTGAGCTCAGCTTCCTAACACCTCACTTCTCCTGCCTTGTTGTTACCAATGACTTTCCAAATAATGATCCTGAAACCCTACGACCCCAAACCAACCACAGAATAGCATGTTACCTTCATCAGACAACATTCATCAACATATTGGAGTGGCTTACAATAATGCTTCATTGTCATAAATGTCTGCAGCCCCATATGTATAATGTGTAATCCAGAGGTAATCCAAGAATCCTCAGAGTCAAAAAAATACAAATATCTCATGGGTAGGGGGGTTAGTAACTAGAAGGGCACATAGAGAGCTGCACAGCAACAGGAGATACGAGGTGGGCTTTTGGGTCTCTGGCCATGCTTCATAAAATGGGCTTGTTCCATTTGTGAAAATGTAGCAGCAGGCTATACAATTATATGTAGTTTTCTTTATGTATGTTATATGTTATACTTCAATCATAAGTTGTTTATCTATACACAAGTATATGGTGTGTGTGTGTGTATGTCCTAATTACTAAACCTGGTACTTTTATCTTTAGTATAGGATATGACTGCCCTCTTATCCAAATAGTTTTGATTAGTTCTCCCTTAACCATAGGATATAGCAGCATGAGCAGCTTAGAAGCAAACACATAGACATTAAGAAAAGATAAATATTAATAAGCATTAGGACTTAACAATCAGGGGCATTTAGAGTAATAATGGGTTTGAAAACAGAGTTCAGTAATGGAGGCTCTTTGTGGTGACTTCATGTCCTCAAGAGCAATTGAATTATGTAACATACTGTTACTAAGGCTAGGGAAATTTCAGAAACTGTCCACCAAGATCAGTTAAAATAAATGGTTATTCACATGTTAAAGAAGAACTTTACTTACTGTGAAATTAAGTTACCCCAACAGTGCTGAAAACAGAGATATTACTGTACTGCTTTTTAGGAAGGTTCTTTTGGTTAAGCTGTGTTTAATCAGGAATTCCATTTAAACAAGTCACCACATTCCCAAGTCACTCAGTATGATCAAAGTTTCATTGTACTGTGAAAACACCTACAAAGCAGATTTTGTCTGTAAGGAGACATTACACATAAATTCCTACACAAATGCAGAAATAGCTGGTGTGATCAGAACCATGTAAGTCCAAATAATAGAATGTTCAGACTGGAGGAAACATCAGATATCCTCTGATTCAATCCTCACCCTTTATAATGGAGGAATTTAGGCTCAGAGAGGTTAAACTGACTTCCCAAAGATACACACATAGTTACTGTATGGCTGAATTGCAACCAGAATTGAAGTATCTCCATTTACTGACCTGTCCTCCTTCACTTAGCCTAGTTGTCCAGAGCAAAAGTGTGGGGCAGAGCTAACTTGGGTTTGAATTGGTTTAGCTTTTGGATTTGCTAGTTGGGTATGACCCTGGACCCCAGTAACACGTCCTGTCTTGTGGAAAAATATTGCCTAGGTATTAATTCAGAGGTACAGACACTAAGGTACTGCATGGCAAGTATCCTGAGAAGGTTACTTCCTGAAACAACTGAGGCCAGAAAATAACTGGAAAGGTCCACTAACCTCTTTGAGGGAAGGAGACTGAGAGGAGGGAAGGCGTCCACAGGAGAGAGCTCTGGGCCTGAATGCCCAGTGGATTTGTGCTTTCCCTCTGCCTGTAGAAGTGTCCTTCACCCTTGAGCCCTGCAGGGATGATTGGCACGGCATTTGGATGTTTTCCTTCTTTTCATGACAGTTCTGAACATGCTGAGCATGGCTTTTGGTCCCATGTGTCATTAAGTGGACTTTCTTTGATGTTGTTTGCAAATGACTTAGTGTAGACACCTGCCATCCAAGGAAGATAGTGGTAAGACTCACCTCAAAAGACATTTTGAGTCTTTTGAAAATAGAATGAAAATAGATAATGTATAAAAGTGGCCAGTAAGAAGCTTGGCACATGTTAGCCACCTAACAAAACCTGTATGCAGCTATTGGTCTTCAGCTCCAATACAACAAATGGATTTGACCTTGATGTTGTCCAAGAACCTGGACCATTGTTTGACTTAGGTTTCTCTTTTTAGAGTATATTACTTAAAAACAATGGCTTCGTTGAAAGCACTAGGCAACAGGAAAAAAGTTCATAAATAACTTACTATTTAGGAATTTAATCTATTTGGAACCATTTGACATTTGACTCCTGTTTCCTGAAGAGACAAATAATGTAGTTGAATCTTACTTTTGTTCAAACCTGATCTTTAGATTGGAAGACCTAAGATCTCTCTCATGTTCCATTATTTAATAAGATGTCTCAATGATCAAATTCTCAGACCACTTGGAATTTTTATTTCTTCGTCTTTAGAATGATAGTAATGCCTACTCATTAGTAGCTGTGGAGCTCAAATGAGAGAAAGTATATATGAAGAGGCAAAGACATTGTTGGAGATGAGCTCCAAAGAGTGGAAGTCTTAAGGAGATTGTGTTTCCCTCTTTTCCAGTTTTCATCTTGCTGCTACAAAAGGACATGTGGAATGCCTCAGGGTCATGGTTACACATGGCGTGGACGTGACAGCCCAAGATACTGCCGGTATGTGATCTTTATCTCTTAACGTCAACAAGCAGAACAAGAGTAGGTATTACAAAGGTGGTACGTATTCATTGTGGGAAATTTACAATCTGTAGATAAGCCAAAAGAAGAACATGGAAACACCTCCAGTGATTAGGTTTCAAAATTGTACCCTTCAGAGTGTTTGCATCTTATATGTGGTTAGTCAACTGGAGACCGTATGCTCCTTATCCCCCCATTTTAAAATACTGTTTTCTAAGATCATATATATGGGCCAAGCAACAGTCCCTAATTTTTCTTTTCATGAGTCATGGCATGAGGTGATGAATGGAGTGTGTTGTTCAGGAGTAGTTGTTCAGCTCGCTGTCAAGTAACTTGAGATGAGCTGTGTGGACATATGCCATGGTCCTCATCTGGGGTTTTCACCCTTTGTTGTGCTTCAGGGTATCCAAATCACCTGGGCATTGAGAGGGAAGAGGGGAGGGGAATATAGGGGGAAAGGAGGAGAAAGAAAAGAATAAACAGTATGCACAGACATAACCCATACACGTATTTATCCAGGCTCTACCCTCTGAGATTCAGATTCCATGGTCCAAAGGGTACTATCCAGCTGATATTTTTGGTAAAGCTCCCAGGTGATCTAATATGAAGCCAGTGTTGATAAATGATGAACAAGACAAAGGGAGAGAAAAGGAAGTGTAGTCTTATCTTTAATAAACATTGTTCTAAAGGAAGTAGGCCCAGGAGTCTCCAGCCTGGGATTCTACCCTGGCTGGCTGCCGAAGAGCCAAAGCCACTACTGATGCCTTTCCATTTCTCCATTGTACTTGAAAATCTTTGCCTCCTAAAATGCTTTTTTGTTAGTTTCTTCTAGAATATGAAACCAGTCTACTTTCTTAGTCTTTATATAGGCTTTTCATTAATCCATAATGGATTCCTTACACTCCCTGCCAAAAGCACTGGTCACCTCAAAGGAGTTATCTTGGGGGTGGGCTTAGTCAGGTATTTCGAGAATGCTTTATTACTTAAAATATGGTTGGAAAACTCAGAAGTGTTTTCAAAAAGTCTGTGGTACTTTTAAAGAAAAAAAATAATCTTGGTATTTAGGAATCTTTATTCTTTGAGAATAGATTCTCTTTTTTAGGACAGGCCAAGAGCCACTTGAAGTCAAGTCAGGTAAACAAGGTGTCAAACTGGTGAAACTATTTTTAGTCAAAAATAGGGAGTGATTGAAGTAACAATGATTTTCTTGAGCAGTGCCACAGAAAGTGCCAAAAAGTATTTTGAGGATGGCAATATTAGTAGAATAGTTTTCTTAACTACTTAACTATGAGAGAAACTAATTAAAGTCATCTTTAAACCCAAGGCCCATTATTTTGTTTGTTTTTAAAGTTTATCGTTCTGACTTTTAAAGTCTTACCACATATACATAGAGCAGTATGATTGGCTGAAGTACCCTTGGTGAGCTGTCTGTCCCCTTAATGTCTGGGCAATGTCCCAGAACATTGTTCAAACATTCCATGAGTTTGAAATGTCTCAGAGCTGCCACTTACTTCCTTCTTAAGTAGATAGGGCTTCCTCTCTAAGAATATCATAACTTTGAAGAATTAGATTTATGTGAATAAATTGGAGTTATATATAGCCTTTTTTCACTGTATCTGATGTTAAGAAATAGATTAGACAGGAGTCTAGTTATTTCCTGTTTGGTTATTTCCATCATAACACAAACATCTTCTCTTGTCTTCTTAGTATAGGGAAAAATGTTTGTCTAATACATGCTCATTGTAAAAAAATGAGAAATATAGAAGAGTATAATGATGATAGCCCATGCTTCTACTCCTACCAAGAAGAAAAAATTCTACTGTTTTGCTCTATTTCCTTTCAGGTTTTCCTGGCACATTTTTATGCAATTGAGATCAGATTATATAATAAACTCTATATGCTGCATCCCCCCCTTTTTTTAATATTCCAAATATTCATTTGCCACACTGAAAGCTCTTAAGAAGCATAGTATCTCTCGGCCATACAATATCACCTGCATAGATCTTGTGTTGACTACCAGAACCCCAATGCGGTGTTGAGGGGCCTAATGAAGGGCCTGGCAGTGAGGCCCGGATGCTCCCACATGGTGCCCACGTCCATGCTGGCTGAGATGCCACCGCCTCCAAAAAGCAGCAGGGGACACTGCACACCCAGCCTGGATGCTGCTCTGGCCCGCTCGGTGGGAACTGCTGCTGTCCCTTTTTTCCCCACTTTGACTGATACTGGTGGAATCCGGAGCACTTGCCGGCCCCAGAACACCAGGCAGACATTCGCGAGTTGAGAATGTCTCAGAGCTGCCAGCCACGCCCTCTCACCAGACGTTTTCACTTCAGTCTTCAGTGTATTGTTTTACTTTGGTCTGAACGAGGCACCAGCTTCTTGTGTTTTCTCGAGAGCATGCCAAGAGGGTGTAGGCACAAAAGAAGGAAAATGCGTGGTAAAAAGTGGGTGGAAATGCCTGCTGTGTTACCTGGACCACACTACTCAGACTTTCTTCTGTCACAACAAACAAGATGAATGTGATGGCTTTTACGGCCCATGCCTCCGTCCTTCCTGTTGGCTGTATCGCGTACCCCACCTCTCCTCTCAGGAAAGCGTGTCAGACTCTAAGGGAAGGGTGAGGACTTTAGTCACTATGCCTTAGTCATCAGTGGTCAAAACATCTTTTTATGGTGGTGAAGGGGGATAAATGAAATAGCTCAGCTCTTGTAGGTGTTGCCTTCTCTGTAAACCTCCCTGAAGTATTGTCGCATTATTATTGACATATAGTTATCTTCAGTCCCAACACCGACTGAGAACTGGTACAGAAATCTGTTACCACAAATCATACTGCCCTATAGAGTTTCTGTAAAGAATTTTCAAAAGATATTACAATGACCCTTTTTATTTTTCTTATCCACAGATACAGGATGATCAGATTGGTAGAATTTCCTACTTTTTAAACTAATGAATGGATTTAAGTTACAGAAGCAAAGGGTTTTTTGCATCCGTGTTTTGACAATAATCCTTCTATGTGAAATGCTTAGAAGTCTGACCCCAGAATTTTTATGGATGCTTCACAGTCTTAAGAGCAGAGTACTATCAGAAGAAAAGGCCTTAGGTACAGTTACAATATGACATCAACAGTCACATCATTTTAGATGGCCTTGGAGGCTTAAGTGAGCTCTGAAGTGTGGGCATCGTGGCAGGGCCCAGCACATGGTGAGTGCTCACTACATTTGGTGCCTCTATTATCATGATTATTGCTACTTCACCCACGTCACCTTTATTCCCTTGTACAGATAAGGCTATTTTAAAAAGGTTTCACATCTTACAAAAAAAAGTTTGATAATCACCAAGCCAACTGCGCTCATTGTACGAGTCAGAAAAAGAAAACCCAAAGACTGGCAGAAGCTCATGACTTATGTCTTTGGTTTTGGGGATCCCCCAGCCCCTTCCTTACTGCCTGTTTGCCAACCAGCACCACAGGCATATAATGATCACCTGGGAAAGTCAGTTCCTAAGCTCACTGTGCCATCTGTGAACTGGACCCACGTTGTTCATTTAGCACCTTTCATTGCTTCATTTGCTGTTATTCTTCACTGCTGAAGAATTGGCATTTCTGTCTATTTCTTTAGAAAACACTTCTCCCAGACAAATAGCAGAATTGACTCCAGCCTTTTCTCGGGTAGGGGTGTGCCTGCATTTGGCACTCAGAGTATGAGCTAGGGTTAAACAGAAGCATCAACAGAAGAATCCTGTTTGTTATCAGTGCTTCTCTGAAGGATGAGCTTTCCGACTCCCTTTATTAATGTGCGTACATGCTTGACAGTGTTACAGTACCAAAATAAGAGTAGCTTAAGCAAGGTAGAATTTTCTCTCTTTCGATCCCAATTTGGTATGGTGGCTCAGCTGCACACCATGAGGGACCCAGACTCCTGGTGCTCCACCATCAGGGCGTTACCATGGTCCTAATGGCCTGGGTTAGCTCCCCGGAGTCTGCCTCCCAGCAGCAGCAAGGGGATGGGCATGCATAGTCCGTGAATGGCACACTCACATTCATCACACAGGATATATAATCTTTGGCCACACCTTTCTTCATGGGGAGCTGAGATTCTGGGCAGCAATTTGTCCAGTTAAAAATATAGAAGGTTGGTGATGGGGGGAGTCTAGTAAACATAATGTTCCTCATGTAATTGTATATTAATCATACCAAAAAAAAATATATATATATATATAGAAGGCTTTGCTATAGAAGGAGGTAGAAATGGAAACTGAAGGGTGATGTGTATTTTGTGTCACACTCTCTGGTCTTAAATTTTCTCTGATTCATTTGCACACTTTCATAATAAAATTTCTTTTCTCGTAGAAGAGAGACTTAGGAGAGTAAGAACTGAGGTATGGAAATACCCTGATAAAAAGGCCCCAGAAGGGGCAAACTCAAGAGCCCTCTCTCTTCTCTTGGGTCTGTCTCTTGGTGCTGGCTTATCTTTTGTTTTGGTTTCTGGGTGGTCTTCCATTCCTTATGCCCACTAATCCCACTCAAATTTGATACCATGTAAAGACATGAAACATTATATTCATCTTAAAACTTGGGCACTTTAGAGAATGGATCATTTAAAGTGTAACCCCAAATTATAGCGAGTAAGTGTATTTCATGTTTTAATTTGGAATAAAAAACCAAAAATGATTGTATGATTTGTGGCACTTGCTGTTAACTCATGTATAGGAGGTCAGAAGGGTCAACTGTATATAATGACCAGCAAAACCTGGCTGTGAAAAATTTTGAATCTCCCCATACATACACACACTTTTGATTCTATATAAAACACTGTGCAAATCTATACTGGGGAGACTAAGGGATAATTTCATAACCCTATTTAATAGTAAGAATGGTTATTACAAATAAGTCTTTTATACTCTGATCTCTTTCCTGAGAGTATAACAAGATGAATGGACTTGTGCTTCAGAAATAAAATTTGAGTACAGGTGAGGATTTCTAAGAATAATGTTGTTTAAATATACTTAAAATGTACATAGCCAAATAAATCTATACGTTTAAGTATATTTGACATTTTGAAACTGATTTTTAAGAAAATATTTTAAACCTTACCTAGCTGAGTATTATTTAATTCTCATTATTTTCCTAAGTGTTTCTATATTATGATCTAAAGCTATGATTTCTCAAACTTTAGCCTTTTATTAGACTTCTCTGTGTCCGATGACTTCATTTGTTTTAAAATTTTTCACATACACATGAAGGGTATGTTCTCAGTCCCATCGATATTTATTATATTAATTAATTCTCTCTCTTCTCTAGTGATCTTAAAGAATTGAATAAATGGTTGTTGTCTGACATATCCTCAGGGGAGGTGTCCCATGGCTAGAATGGCTGGGCCATCCTTCCTAGACTCTCTCTATTGAGAAAGAGTCTTAATCTACCTGTAATAGCAGCCAACTCTTAAAAATAACACTAGGCTTTTTATGTAGAGGCAAATTTCTGTTGGAATGCACTTGAATTAGGGTTGTCCTGTTACTTGCCTATAGGGAAATTTCTTCCTGATATTCCAGAAAGATCCATAGCTGAATGGGGGCCAGACTTACGCACTGTCTTTTAGTGGATTGTGTTACTAATATAGTCACTCCAGAAAATTCTGCATTTGGAAAGATAATTTTATTTTAATGTTAGCAGTGAGAGACATCTTACTCCAGTGTAGTGTTGTCCTGGCCATGAGGCTTCATTTGGATTTTGAGATTACTTTCAGTGAAAAACACTTTGGTGCTCCTGGTTTAGGAAGTCGCATCACAGAGCCAGGGAATAAAATAATTAGTTTTCTCTAGAAACACAGCACTCACTTGCAGGTATGACTAGAACACTCGGAGTAAAATGAAAGCCTGTTATTTATGTTATGCTGAGTTGTTCAAATCTCCCTACCATCTTCTCTTTGGAAATGGTGTCTTTTTCCAATAGGTACTCTTTATGTAGAACAGCTTTTGTCCAGAGCACAGACAAATGTTAATGCGTCGCATGCATGACATAAACAATCTTATACTTACAATCAGGGTGCATTCCAAAAATTCATCTGCAAGGCATTTGTTTAAGACTCAAAATATGTTTGTCCTTAGAAACACTGGTACAAATGATGGTTGGAGGCCAGCAAGCCCATCAAAGCTTATTGACTGCATAATATAACTGAACTCATGCCATTATGCATTATACATCCTGGAAGCCGGGATCTCATGCAGTAAAAAGAGGGAAAGGAAGAGAAGGTGCTTGTCTTCCTACTTTGAAGGGTCTCGTTTCCCTCATTTTCTAATTTTTCTTGTGCGTGTGAGAGGGCATGGAGGGACTCCTTCCTCTCAGTGTTCCATCCCTATGAAACAACACCCCCTCCCATTTACCTTAAAATCCCTCCACACAGCTTGTCTCAGGAAAGAGTCTGATCTTTAGACCTCACACATGCTTTTGTGCAGCTCACTATGGTTCTAAAACCCTCTACTTTTTAAGTATGGCGTTTCTTAGCTGAATGAATCTTCAGTGAGCTCCCAGTCAGTGTTACAGGGTGAAGACTTAATTCAGAAAGGAAAAACAGTATTTGGAGGCTGGACCACCACCCAAAAGAAATTGTTCCTCTAAGCCTGTTGTGTTCAACTGGGGATGATCTTGTCCCCAGGGACTCTTTGGCCATGTCTGGAGACTTTTCTGATTGTCACAAGTGGGTATCTGTGGGTGGAGGCCAGAGATGTAGGTTAACATCCTGCAATGCGCAGGACAGTGCCCCACAGCTTAAAATGTCTGTGGCACTGAGACGGAGACCCTGCTGTAAGCATGCCCCAAAGTGTGAGATGTGTACAGGTATATGTTGGGCCATACATGGTCCGACAGTTTGGGAAATGCAAGATTTACCTAAGTGAATTGGGCTGGCTGCCAACAGTAACTTTGCTTCCCTCCCACCAGACTTTCTCCCCAGACTTGGGGAATGAGCATGCCCTCTAATCTGAGGACCTACTGTGTGTCAGCAGTAGTGTAGGCCCTGGGGACAAGTAGCAGGGAATGAGAGAGACAAAGCTTCCTGTCCTCACTGAGTTTATGTCCTAGTGGGGACAGAGAAACAGTTTACTACAGAAATGTGTGTGTGTAGGGGGTGGTGCTCAGTGCTCTGAAGAACAAAGATAGGAGCCAGGGAGTAAGGATAAAATGGGGTGGGGAAGGAATGGGAGTTTTAAATGGGGAGGTCAGGAAAGGCTTCATTCAAAAGGCAGCATTTGGGCAGCAATGTGGCAGGAGAGAGCATGCTGGGTGGTGATCCTAAAGGAGAATCCAGGCTCAGCAAAGAGCAGCTGTGAAGGTTACTCTGCAAAGGTTCCCTGAGGTTACTCCTGTGTCCCACTTCCATGGAATTCTGTAGGCCCATTGGGCACTGGGTCGTGGTGGGTGTAGCATTACGATTCCTAGTTGTCTGACCACAGAAGCATCTAAGAGCCTCATGTTGGAGTCATGTTCTGTGAAGGGAGCATAGAAATGTCACTTCAATAGTGTGATGGTGTTTTTACAACTCTTGATCTCTTTCTGCCTAAGAATTTTGGATGACTGAGAACTCCAGGTAACTTTTATGCCAGGGCCGGTGTGCATATGGAAGAGGGAGAAAAGGGGTCAAAAGTAGGGATTAAAGGGTGTGGTGTTTGGTATGTTCCCTGCTGACTTCCAGGCTGTGTTTCATAGGCTCCTGGACCCGTGGTGGTCATAGGCTGGTGTGACTGTTGTGGGCACAAGACGTTTGGTGTATATCCTGATAGCTAAAAGCAGAACTTCTAAGCTGCATATCATGAATCCACTGCCAGCTCAGAGCATCACTGCACTCCAAGAGAATGGCAGCTGCAGTGGCCCCTGGATGTCACCCTGAGGGCAGGATGCTCTGTGTTCTCCCTACTTTTGTCACGCAGAATTTTATAGATAAAAAGTTGAGGCCTTACTCTCAAGAAGAACGATTCCGTCTTTGTTAGACAACTGTTCACTTCCTCATACTTGTCTTCATTACAGAGATAAAAGATTTAAAATGTGTGGCCCTTTTTTTCCATTTTCTTTTTAATCCATTTAGGACACAGTGCTTTGCACCTTGCAGCCAAGAACAGCCACCATGAATGCATCAGGAAGCTCCTGCAGGTAAAGTGGAACAACTGAAAGTTATAAATGTGGCACTTTTGAAATTTAAAAGTAACCTTATCTGTGAAAGAACAGATTCATGCACACACTCCTTTAAATATTATCCCAGAACCTGGGCCTCCTAAGAGGCTTTGGTATTAAAATGATAGCCAAGGACAAGATCATTTTCTGTAGCAGTTGCACTGGTAGGAGGAAGATCCTAATCCAAATTTGGAGTATCTTCCTGGGATCCAGCCTTTTTCTACCCTTTATTCAGCTCTTCCTTAATTTCTCTGCCTTTACATAGTCAGTTTTTAAAAAACCTTTCCATGCTGTTGGATATTCTTACAATAGTGGATCTCCAGTGTCCTGGCGTTCATTCTTTCCCTCATTGGCAGAATGCAGCTCTTCTTGAGAAGCAACATTTCAGCAATGAATTCCTTGCATGTAACTTGGTGAGCTTTTAGTTCTTGGTTTTAGTCTTGATCATTTTTAGCCAACTCGCTGGATTGATAACCTTGGCAGGAAGTTTATAATGATCACCTAGGGTGATGACATCCCCAAATCTTTAAAGATTTATGACTATTTAATGAACTCTTAATAGCAGTCCACGAACGGTACCATCCAGCTGTTGCCAGTCAAAATGCAAGCTGACTGTCTTCAGAAACGGCATTGAGCAATAAAATAAGTGTTTGGAGTACTGTCTGTTCCGTTGAACTGTTGTCTCCGCCTACATGAGCACTGTTTGGGCCCCAGCAGCTTGCTTTAATTTGACTTTGCAATTCTGTGTTTGAGCCCAGCTGCTTGCTTTACTTTGACACTGCAATTCTCATGCAGAATATGGTTCACGTTCTTGAACTTGTCCTGTTCTGTTGATAACACATCTGCTTGTCTTGCATTACCGGATGCAGGCCACCACCAGTGCCAGGAATGCTTAACTTAACAGGTCTTTGAAGTGAAATTTGAGAAAAATAGATTAACATCTGTGATTATTGTGATTTTTATTGCAAAGTTTCTCCCTGAAGACAATTAAAATAGAACTTAGCTGCCTCTTCTGGCACTGGGCATTCTGGATAAATAAAAATCATTGATTTGCCCAAGTGCCCTGTCTCCACACCCTTGATCTTACCTTAAAATTTTTTTTCTTCACTTATTTGTGTTTTAAATTTCCATTTCTATCCTGACTTGGCTATCCAGACTTTGCATCTGGCTCTGATTTTAAGGAAGAGTAAACTTGATAAGCTGGAAATCCTCATGGACAAGCACCAGATATTCTTGCCTTTAATGCAATTTTGTATCTGCTTATGCAAATGGATTGTTTTTTTCCTGGAGTCTTTGAAGTCTTTCAGCAGTTCCTTGTGCTGTTCTAAACAGGTGTAACTTGATCTCCGTTCTTCTCCCCAGTGAAGGGCAGACATTTCACCTTGTCTGTCCTTGCCTTCCCTAACTTGCAAACTGTCTGAATGTTACTCTCCTTTCTGGATAGCTGCTGAAACCTAAGATGTAAATGTCCCCCCATTGGATTGCTTTCCATGGGTCCTGCATCCCCTCTAGTCAGTTCTCTCCTCCTTGTCTTGGCAATCCTGCCCCCTGGGATGTGAGCTCTGCTCTCTGCCCTGCCTCACGCTGCCATCTGCATTTGCTCCTCTTACTGAGCTTTCACTTTTGCTTTTGTGTCTGGCTGGCTGCTGAAGATGCTCCCCTTCTCCAGGGGCTACCATTTTAAGGTTCTGTCTCCTGAGGACATTCAGCACAATTGTAAGAGTCTTATGAGATTCTTTAAATTCAAATGAACTCTGTTCCTCCAGGATAGCACACCATGCCCCTGACTCTCTCTCCTATGAAGTTTCCCTGGGCACTGTGCACTGGGTCGAGTATTGGGTATATGCTCACGAACAGCTGATGCAGCTTGCAGCCTGGTAAACAGGTATACACATAGATTTACACCTTACAAAACTGCACAACACTGAGAAGGAAACTGGCAGAGTGTCATGAGAGATGAGTGGGGCTGAATGGTCAGGGCATGCCTCATGGAGCAGGTGATGTTAAGCCGAGCACTCAGTGATCCAAAGGCCAAAGCATTTTAAGCAGACATACAGCAAATGCAAAAGGCCTGAGGTCAGGCAGGCACTTGTCATGGAGGGAAGAAAGGCGCAGTGAGTGGGCCTGGGCAGAGTGGGACAGGGAGATCATAGGGCACAAGATGTGGGTCCAGTGTGTCATGATGGGCAGACTGTACTTCATCTCAGTGCAGGACAGAGCTGCAAAGGGCTTTTAAAGTAAGGTGGGGCAGTCGCTGTTTTAAGGATCACTCTAGTTATGTAGAGAATTGGTTAAAGGGGCTGAAGCAGACCTGTTGAGAACCACTGGGGGGCTGTGACAGCTGTCCAGGTGGGAGGGTTCTGACTTAGACTGGGTGATGGTAAGGGAAGAAGGGGAGAGAGTACATCAGCTGTGTTTTAGAGACAGCACTGACAGGACATGGGGGTCAATTAGATGCAGAAGGAGGAAGAGGAGGAGAAATCGAAGATGAATCAGTGGTTTCTGGCTCAGTGATTTGATTGACGGTGGTGCTGTTGACAAAGGCAGGGAAGAGTTGGGAGGGGAATCCACAAGTTTTGGCTGCGCTACTTCTGAGGTGCTGCCATCAGAGCAGAAATGTGAAACCGACAGTAGGTTATCCAGTCTGGCACTCAGGGTTGACATGTGGGGACAAGTAAGAACACCAGCCTGAGTTTGCATCCTGTCTCTGCCACTTACTGCAACCTGAGCAAACTGTTAACCTCTCTGTACCTCAGTTTCCTCATCTGAAAATGAGGGTAATAATAGTATCTAAGTAGGATTGTTCGGAGCCTTAAAACAACTCTTTGAACAACACCTGGCAAAGTGCTCCCTCTGAGAGAATAGTGAGGCCCTCCAGGGTTTTGTGTTTGGCTGAAAGAGGTATGGCTGGAGCAATGGGAGGAATCCTCAGGCAGGTTCTAGGTGCTGAGAGGAAGAGGGTTTGCAGAAGAGGGCAGGGATCGCCAGCGGGAGGTTCTGAAGAAGAGCACAGAAATGTTTGTTGTCATTAGAAACATGAAGTTCGTTGGTGACTTTGAGTGGGGCCATCTCTGTGGAGTCCGAAGGGCAGACCCCCAGCAGTAGGGGGTTCTGGAATGAATGGGCTGTGAGGAAGCAGGGATTCTGAACAGAAAGTTGGTTTTGTGAAGGCAGACAGAGAATTAGGGAAGGAAATGGAGGAGAGGTGAATCAAGGTGAGAAACCCTAGAGCCCATCTGTTAGCTGCTGGGGACGATCTGTCTGGGATAGGGAGAGGAAGGGCTGGCCAGGGAGCAGAGGGGTGGGGGTATGGGCAGTGTGCCTGTGTCCTGAATACTTAGAGACAAGTCTTCCTCCCTATAAGAGACTATAGTTTCCTGGAGCACAGCAGTGGGGGCTTCTCAAGTTTATACTCATCCTAAGAAGTTGCATCAGACCTTGCAGGAAAAGGATGAGCTGAATAGAACTGAATTTTGTGATATGTATTTATTTATTTTTGTCTCATAGTCTAAGTGCCCAGCTGAAAGTATTGACAGCTCTGGGAAAACAGCTTTGCATTATGCAGGTAACTTTCATTCTCTTACCTGTCCTCTAACGTAAGAAACAGTAACTTTCACTTATTCAAGCTGTTGACTTCACCATATTCCTGATGCTGTTCTCTGCCATCATTCCTAGACATTACAATTTTCCTCAGTTTGTAAAATATGTAGAGTTTTACCAAGACGTATAACTAGAATTCAATTGCCTGCTGAACAACCAGTAAAAGTTGTCATGGGTGTTATATGTCCACTAATGTAAGGTTCTTGTTCAAACTCAGAGATATTCATAAACATCTATAGATTTCAGGTAATGTATGACACAGAATTTTTGATTTGGGGATCAAAAGGTACATCAATCAATTTTATCTGTCATTGTTTTTTTTACTATTACACAACTTCAAATGACAAAACATTGACACTGAACTCTGGAATGATTAGATTTACAAATATCTTTTAAGTGCTAGTTGTGGAAAAGTTAAGTCCGGAGAAAAGCTAAACCCAGTATTTGCCTAAAGGCAACTGGCAGTCACTGGCTTTAGGTGGGGATAGCACTGAAATTGACCAGTAATTTAAAACAGCTCTTACTTAACCTTCCTGACACCTTCTCAGTGCCACTAGAGTAGCCTCTGCAAACTGGGTAGGACATGAACTTGCCCTTCCTAGAAGTGTTTGGTGCCCCAGTTTGTGACAGTCACTTTGAGACTGGCTGTTGTGTTTTCCCTCCCTCAGCGGCACAGGGCTGCCTTCCGGCTGTGCAGGTTCTTTGCGAGCACAAAAGCCCCATAAACCTCAAGGATTTGGTAAGTACCAGGTGGCTACTAGAGGTGGAGGTGAACACTGCTTCCTAGAGCACTATGGGTTTACTTCAGAGAGTCACTAAGACTTAGAGACCCAAGCATTCAACAATAGCCTATTCCTTTCTTTTTTTCCCCCCCCCACTGAAGATTTTTTTTTTAATCAAGTGTAGTTGATATATAAGCCTATTGCTTTTCAACCTAGGCCCTCTTCTGCAAAATGGGCTGAAGTATTAACCCTATTGGTCCCTAAACCATTAAAAAAAAATTTACAGCATGTATTTCTTGTATATGTATATTTGTTCCTAAGGATAGATGTGTGGTTGGCTTAAATAATAATGAGGCTTAATTTCTTGATTTAAAAAAAAAATAAGTCTAAATAGAAGTTGTAATATTTTCTTTCTGAGCCCCTTGTATTACCTGGGGTACTCCTGGTTAGGGTTTCCCAACTTTGAAGACCACTATATTAACCTCACTGGGCTATTTTGAGAATAAATTTACATGTCTAATGCTCCTGGTTACAGGGTTAAATTTCCCTCTGTCACATGGGAATTGACACGTATGCATTGTACCTGATGGGGTATTGTGAAGTGAGCATATAGAATCTGTAGATAATTCACATTCCCTGAATCTTGGACTTTAAATGAGAAAGTATTATAGCTTCACAGGGATAATTTTTTAGACATGTGTCTGAAATTCTACTTTAAGTGGAGACTTAATCTTTAAGCAGCAATTGTATTTTTTTAAATCCCCATGTTAAAATAATTGGATATAACTGATTTTTTCCTTTGCCTGTTTGAATGCATCTACCTTAAAAATTACTGTTCACCCCATTTTGTGAGCTATATGCAAGGAGAGAGCAGAATAAACTTCTCTTTATGGTTTGTATCATTTGAGTCAGGCCCTTTCACCCTAAGACTATGGAGATAGCCACCAATACATTCTTTAAGTATTTTTTTCATTTGCTTTATATTATAATATCTAAATTCTTAATCCACTCTACATAGATAATATATGAGTTGGGAGATTTAATTTCCTTTTTTTTTCCCCCAAAGAATTGCCAAATGTCATATTAAATCATTCTTTTCATTGATCTCTTAATCGAGTCATGTGTCAGCAATAATTATGTTATGTTTTGTTGCCTTGTAAGATCATGAAATGGTATGCATCCTAGAAGAGAATAGTGGAATGGAAGAATGCTTATAGTTCACTTGGAAGAAGGCTTAGAGGGTGGTGGGATCTATTGATGCCATGTGGAAACCAATCCTTCATTTTACTGGAACCATCTCCCTGTAAACATGGTATACTTGCCTTGAGTGCTTGCATACTTTGTGATCCACTGTCTCTTGCATCATCACCAGACTGAGTGACAGCTGAGGGAACAAGCAGCCCAAAAGGCTGAGGCTCCTGAGGAAAAGTTAACAGTTGTGAAATTGCCTAAATAGAGCTGTGCTAGGCTGTAATGGCAGCCCTTCTGCGGTACCGTCATGGTGCGTCAGTTATAAGACCAGGAGGACAATTAAGGAATAAATGTGGAAAGAACTAAGAACTTTGCAGTTCTGGCATTTGGTATCTGAGTTAAAATTTTACTCTGAATTTGTCTCTTAGGATGGGAATATACCACTGCTTCTTGCAGTACATAATGGCCACAGTGAGGTCTGTCGTTTTCTTCTGGATCATAGAGCAGATGTAAATTCCAGGAACAAAAATGGAAGGTACCTTAGAATTAGAGATCATGTGACTTCAGTTGATATATACATTTGGGGTGTCTCAAAATATTACAGCTGTCTTTTGGATCATTAGTTATACAGTGATTTTAACTTACTTAATTTTAAATTGTCTGCCTTTTGTGATAATCAAGAATCTGTTTTGACTTAAAAATTCCCCCCCCCCAGGCCTCTGGGTTCATCACTGAGTCAGTGATGAGACTATTAAATACTAAAGTGAATAGGCCATTTCCTGTGACTTCTCATACAAAGTTAAATAAAAGTAAATATGTTGCTTTTTAATAATGTATAGGTACACTAAAGTGCTTGAAGTGAAGACACAATTTGTGTTAATCATATTAGATTCCATCATATTTAGAAGATGTTTAGATAATATATCTATGTTATTTAAATTAATATGGCTTAATGTTTTGATTTAATCAAAAGTTTTTAAAAGAACCACCACCTAATTTCATCGTGATAGCAGTCTCTCTTGAATTCCCTAGAAGCTTAAGTGTAGTACAGGTTTAACTGTACTTAATCTGCTTTTCTGGAAACTCTTTTCAAGACAAGTGAAATGATTTCCCAGGAAAGCGCCTTCACATTTTGTTATACTAATTTGGTGTCTCCTTTTTTTAGAACTGCTCTCATGCTGGCTTGTGAGATTGGCAGCTCTAATATCGTGGAAGCCTTAATTAAAAAGGGTGCAGACCTAAACCTTGTAGATTCTCTTGGACACAATGCCTTACATTATTCCAAACACTCAGAAAGTGCAGGAATTCAAAGCCTTCTGTTATCAAAAATCTCTCAGGATGCTGGTATGTGAACAAAAATAGCTAGTGTTGTTTTAAATTTATCCACTCCATTTTCCCCAAAGAATGAAAGAATTTGTGCAATACGATATATTTTATTATTCTTTTAAACTATTCTTGAAGAAAAATGAAGTGTTAAATATATGTATGGTGTGTATGTGTGTATCCCCAACTCAAAGTGGGTATAAGTCATGATTCTTATAGTTCTTTTTTCTCACTTTTTCCTCTATAGATTTACAGACACCAGCAAAACCAAAGCAGGTATTTATCTTTTGGGGATAGTGTTTTTTGGTGTGTTTTTTTTCCTTCATCTTTGCTTGTGGGGATTTGAAAATGTTCTGATTAAACCACTCTGGAGTTCATTAGAAAAGTGATAAAGACTATATTGAAGATAACTTAAAGAGTAAAATATCTTTAGAATAAAGGACCTATTGTTATAAAGTGGTAAATGTTTTCCTAATAATTTACCCTGTTTCCAAAGCATGTTACTTTAAACTTGCTACTTACATATACATCTTTTCCTGAAATGTACTAATATATCCTATTTGGGTGAAATTGTTTGATGTGGTTTTAATTCTGAGAGTGAACAATATTCTAAATATATGTAATATCACATGGATTTTAGGCTTCCATCTGTGGCAATGTTATTTAGGGAAAGTAAGAGATTTAGATTTTTATTTCATTTTAATTGGAGCTTTTCTAAAATGTCCTTTGCTATGTTATTTTGGAGTTTTTCCTAAAAACATAGCTACCACTGTTTATTTTATTAACAAGATGTATAACTTGCTGTTTATCTATTTATGCATCAAGGCTCTTGGAAAAAATTATAATAACAGCAAATTCTCCAAACTGAATTTTTTATGTACTAATTGTATTACTTCTTGATCCATAACCTTCATAGATGAGGTATTTTTTAAGAAAAGGAGTGCAAATAATTTGAGTGTGTTGTATTACTTCTTGATCCATAACCTTCATAGATGAGGTATTTTTTAAGAAAAGGAGTGCAAATAATTTGAGTGTGGGGGAAATACCACTGCTTTGCATTAAGGTGGAAGCTGGGCTCTCAACTGTTGTAGACAGCTCCTCATACTCTATTTTCCCAGTTCTCCACACCAGCTTAATCTGGATTTTTTTTTTGTGTTTTTTATTTTCTTGCTTTTAAAGCATGGGCTGCTGGAAGAAAACTAGGATCATGCATATTATTTATTTTTATGTTGGTAGCAGATTTTAGATCTTGATATAAGAAATGCATGAATTATTGAGTTTTTTCTCATTTGTTCGGTGAAGCTATTTGCTCAAACTTTACTAACCTAACTAACCCACTTCCATTCTTTGGACTGTGATAACTTACAGCATGATCAAGTCTCTAAAATAAGCTCAGAAAGAAGTGGAACTCCAAAAAAACGCAAAGCTCCACCACCTCCTATCAGTCCTACCCAGGTAAAAACAAAAGCAAACCAACAATGAACAAATACACAACAACAATGCCATAATTTTGTCATTTTGTGTTTAAGCCAAAAAGAAAAGTTTTAGAATTGATCCTTCAATGCACATTTAAAATTTTCTTTAGTGGTTTTAAATTACAAATAGTGCTATGAAGGATTTTGCTTATTAGTATAGAAATAATGTTGATTTTTAATTATTTCAAAACTGAAGAATTGAACAGTATCTTTTTAAAAAGCCTCAAAGAAAGTTCTCAAAATCTTATGACAGAAATTTTTTCCTTAGAATAATAAGGTCAGTCTCTTTTTAATACCACACATTAACAGCTCAAGTAGTGGGAAAGAATGGGGTAGCTGGTGAGACAGTTAGTTGAAAATGATTTTAGGTGGTTCCTTAAAACATTTAAAAAATATGTTTGCATTTCTAATTAAATTTAAGTTGACTAATAGTAAAAGCAGCTTTTATTTCTTAGTTTATAGTGACTACTGTACAGAGGAGGAAGCTCAGATATCTATGAAATGGCAAATAAAAATAGGCTGGAGTTTGCTATTAAAAGAATCATAGGCCATAAAAAGAATCATCCTTGTTCACGTACTTGAGAGAGGTATATCTTATCTGCTAAGTAATACTGAATCTGTTAGCATATTCATTAATAATATTCTCAACCTGTAATAGAGGTTTTATAGATTTTTTAATTGATTCTAGTGAATATAGGAGTAAAGTTGTGTAGTTATACCCTACAAACTTCCAAAAAGTTTGAAATAGCAGAATTACATTGAAAATGTGTTCCCCTTGAATTAATTGAAACCAATGATAATTACTGTTAGATTTATTTGCATTGGCTAACTAGGTTAACTCTTTGGCACTGGAGAAGAAAATGCTGAAAGGAAGCATTCTTTATCAGTGGTTTTCATTTTGTTTTTTAGTTGAGTGATGTGTCTTCTCCAAGATCAATAACTTCAACACCACTTTCGGGAAAGGAATCGGTATTTTTTGCTGAACCACCCTTCAAGGTATTTCCTTTCTATGTTCAATTTATTATCGAATTTTAAAATATATAATAGAGTTGATTTAAGTTACACAACTTTGGGAAAAATAGAATATAATTCTCCATGATTGGTTTACAACTTTTTCATCATAAAGCACCCCTTGATTGTTTTTTCTGGCATGGACTCCATACAAAGAGAATAAGATGAATAAATTTCATTCATTAACTAATAATTAATTTTCCTCATTTTAAAAAAAAGGCAAAGAACTTACCTGAAAACCAGTCTTCTTATCAAATTGAGTTGATATAATGACAATCAAAAAGAAAGAAATGTTGGTTATTCTCTGATGTCTTACTGAGAAGCACTTGTATATTTTTAATTAATGTCTCCTGACTACAAAAGTAATATGTTTTTAATTTGGAAATTTTAGAAAATAGCATCTAGTAAAGTGTATAATTATTGAGCCACTATGTTGTACATCTGAAACCAGCATAAGGTTGTATATCAACTTTATTGCAATAAAGAAAATCCAAACAAGTCAATGAAGGAATAAAATAAATTTTAGGAAATACATTAAGTCTTGGTCCACCTGATTCTGTAGATTTGTGACTAGAAAGTATTTTAGGGGATGAGGAGATAGTTCAGCTTAATAATCTGTTTATCTAAAAGTCATAGGAAATTATACTTGGAAAGAAAGTATAATTTCCAATTGTTATAATAAAATTTCAATGGTATAATTGTATGTTTATTCTCCTATGTAATTACTAAGATAAATTTTCTTTTAACCTAAATTGTACATTGATCTGAAAAAGATTCTACAGCTGTTTATCATTTCCCTCACTTCAACTAGATTTTATTAATGAACTCTTACAATGAATACCTATACAAAAAAAAGCAAGACAAGGAAAGGAAGTTGTGCTCTTAAAATTAGTAGCCTTATCATTTAATGTGATTATGGCTCAAAGGAACCAATGGATTCCAAAGAATAATGTCACAAATTAAGATTTTGGAAAATGACTTTAATTTCTTAAAAAAAAAACACACACACACCCATGAGATAAAGAATAACACCATTTAGAGTGACTGAAGTTTAAAAAGATTAAAAATACCAATGTTGGTGACCATGTGGAAGAATTACAACTCTCATACTCTGTACAGGAATGGAAAATGGTGGGGCTACTGTGGAAAACTGTTTTGAAAGTTTCCTTTGAAGTTCGACATGCACCTATATAGCCATTCCTTTGAAGTAGCCATCCACTCATAGATGTTTGTCCAAGAGAAATTAAAATATATGCCTTAAAAAATCTTATACATATATTTTTATAGTAGCCTTATTCAAATATCCCCAAACTAGAAACAACCCAAATGTCTTTCAACAACTGAATGGATAAGGTGATATCTGTATAATGGAGTATTACTCAGCCATTTGAAAGAGTGAAGAGCTGTCCTAGCAGCATCATAGATGAATCTGAAAGTCACTGCTGAGTGAAAGAAACCAGACACAAAGAAATTCATACCCTATGATGTCCCATTTATAGGAATTCCAGAAAATGAAAAAAGGAGAGTAGTGGTTGCCTGGGGATGGGGCAGGCAAGGGCTTGGCTATGATGAGGCATGAGGAGACTTTTAGAGGTAATGGAAATATCTTATATGTTGATTATAGTGGTGATTCCATGAGTGTATATCTGTCAAAACTCCTCAAATTATGGGCTTTAAATGGATGCAGTTTGTTGTACCTTATTATACTTGAAAAATAAAAAGCATATATTTTTTTAAGTGAAGAGACAGCTTTTTGTAAAGACAAGCTTGCCATAAATGAGCCGCTCTATTTTTAGCATTTGGACCTTTACAAAAATTCCTTTATTGAAAAATTACCTCTCATCATGGTCCATGGCTTATCAAGAGGAAACATAGTAATTTTCTGTCAGGTTACTGTATTTTGTTTTGAAATGAGAGTCTGCTTTGAATTCCAATACTTTGAAAAAAGTCTTAGAAGAGTTTTTGCAATGTATTAATAGACATACTCAGGGAAAAAGATTGAGAAGAAATCTTTAGGGGATTAATTATCATTCTAAGCGTGTAAGAATTTAATCCCCTTATGAAGTTACCTTTATCGTCCCTGACAGAGCTTATTTACTACTATTTCTTTTAGAGATATTAATAATAATAATAAAATTTAATATATAAAATGATATAGCTAAAAAGTATTTCTAACATATTTTAGTCAGTGTATCACCCAGTTAGGTAAAACTTCTATTTCATTTCATTATGAAAGTAATATTTGCCATCTTAAGTTTGAGGATACAGCCCACTAAATTAGGTACTATGTATAATTATTATAATCTGACAAGATATTTGTATTATACTTACAAAATGAAATTTCTGAAAAATAGTTTGCGAATATACTCTCTGGAACCTCTAATATTTTAGAAATTGTACCTTAGTAAATAATTGTCACTTTTTCTTCACTTATATTTTAAAATATCTTCTTCCTTGAGATTTTTTAACTGTTGTTCTAGTAGGATAACATCAACTCGGTTCTGTGCAAAGTCAAGGGTGAAAACTCGCTCGATTCTCTTGAGGCATGTTACATTTGGGAAGTTCTTTTTTAAGTCATTTTTGTGTTCCCGCAGGCTGAGATCAGTTCTATACGGGCAAACAAAGACCGACTAAGTGATAGCACTACAGGTAAGATAAAGGGGTGTCTGTTTTTGTTCTGTAGACCGGTCTCTAGTCCATGTCCATTTAAAGAGAGCAAAGGCCAAGTGGGGTGCTCCATAAGGAGGCCAGAGAACCCCAGAGTGCCACCCCGTGGCTGCCAATACTGCACAGGGTGGCACTCTCTGTACTTCAGGGGGCTTTCAGCTGGGCTTGGATGTGAAAAATTGTCTCTGTTTCCATTTGCCCCTAACTAAATGTTAACACTTTCTTCAGTTATGCATACAGGGAATAGCACCCAACAATGTTAGCAGACCAGTGACTTTCACACCATGAGAATTCATAGATAATGTCATATCACCTTACTGTTACTGCAGATATCTTAAAAACCACTTTCAGTATCTCTACAAGAAATTTTGGTGGTTATCAGACCTCCTGCCAGATCTTGTTGTTTGGGGTGTTGCAAAATAAGCTCTTAAGTGACTGCAGCCCATATTTTCTTCTATTTTATGAATTTTAAAACATTATTTTGAGGTGAAGTCCTAGGCTGCAAGCTGTCAGCTAGCAGAACTCCTCACAGCTGAGCAGCAGGTTATTTCCTAAAGGGAGAGCCGACTGAGCATCTCCACGGCTGCCACAGTCTGACCTTCCTGCTTTGGATTTTAAATAGATCCATGCAAAGACAGAGGGTTAATGAAATCATGCATGATCATATTGTCTTCACCAAGACAGGATTTAATTCATTGTACTAAGAGTCCACCCTGTGGATTTACCCCCTAAGAATGTAGTTCTGTACCTTGGATCAACTTAAAGTGTAGGATAGGTTATTTCAAAGGCCCCTTTTTGCTCCAGCACTCAATTTCCTAGTCTATTATGAACTTCAGATGTGTCTCTGACTTACAGAGTTTAGAAATACTGGACTTTCTAATTCTTGGCAGAGATCAGTGTTGATATCGCAGGACAGTTGTTACATTGGCTACATTGAAAACCACTCATTCTATCTTAAAAGTAATTTATGTTGCTTAGAATTAGTCATGCTCCTAGTCCCCTGGTTAATTCCAAGGTCCCTAGACTTGATGTTAAGGAGACTCATAAAGCTGTGACTTTAGCACCGGACATTGGAAGCAAGCATATCTATAAAGAAATATCATTTTGCATCCTTCCAAAATAAGATTACAGTTTTCATTTTTGTATTAAATGACTGTGAGATAATAAAACATTAAAAAAAATTAGATCAGTGCTATTCAGTGTGGCCTATAAAGTATTGCCAGTTTATAAAAAAATAAGGAATTTGCACCAGAAAGTCATTCAGCTACATCAGTAAGCACACTGTTTTGTTCAGCTGGCATTTGTTTCCTTAGGAAGACTTTCTAGATGAATAAAGCAGTACACCGAGTCACATTCTGGGGTGAGTTTCTTGTCTCAGTGAGCACTTTGAGCTGCATTGCTTTAGATGTTATTTCAACATGACCATCAGTAGGATGTTAAAAAGTTGTAGTTCACTGGGGGATCCAGAGAAGACCGTTTCATGCTGGGTGGTCAGCACATGCTTTACAGAAAAGCCAAAGTCTGACATGGGTCTTGAAGGATGCTAAGAGTTACCTGGCCAGAGACATGCTGCAAGCAGTTGTGTGGATAAAGAATTAAAGCAGCAGCCTGTGCTGAGAATATAAAGAGGGTATAATGGAAACCTTGAATCTAAGGAAAGTAGGATACTGGAGACAGAACCCATGAGTCACTAACCTGAAAAAGTAGGTTTGGGCCAAATTATAGAGGCCCCCATCCAGATGAAGGAATTTGGTGATTGTTTTTGGAAGGATAGCAATTGAAGGACTTGCCACAGAAGAACAACCCAACCCTCTCTAGATATGTTTTAGGAAGATTGATCTGACAGTGTTGTGCAGGCTACATTTTTACTAGGGAGAGGAGAGAGAGAGTTGTTAGGAAGTCGTTTGCAGAGTTCCCAAGGGTACTGGTAAAGTTTGAACTGGAGTAAAGGTGGTAGGGATAAGAAGTCAATCAATTCCAGAGATATTTCTAAAAGGATTCACAGAAATGGGACTTGCTGTAGGCATAGGAGCACATGACCCTTCATCAAGGGAGTAGAAACTGTGTGACCAGACCCATGAGTTTGAGATGGTGTGCATACATCTAGGCTTCTAGTATGGTGCTGGAAATACCCCAGGAAGGAAACCTCAGTACCCGAGAACAGGTGTTCATCTCCCTAGCTGGTGGGGGCTTTCATACGTAGTCAGGACTAGGAAGAACTGGATTAGGTAGAAAATGAGTTCGTTACGGGTCAGAGAAGAACCAGTTTAATTTTTTTAATATTTTAAATTGCCTCTTTTCAAGGTGCTGATAGCTTATTGGATGTAAGTTCTGAAGCTGACCAACAAGATCTTCTTGTCCTATTGCAAGCAAAAGTTGCTTCTCTTACATTACACAATAAGGAATTACAAGATAAATTACAGGTAGGTAAAACAGATCGCTAGCACAGACAGTTCTGTAGAGTCAAGCTTTTGAGTTTCTCAGGATTAGTCAGATGAGGTTCTGTTTTAAATACCTAGTTTCTCCTTTTTTAATATAGCTAGCCTTAAGCATTTTACATTTTCAAACTTTCTTGAGAGAGTTATCATTAACTCCATTTCTGTAAGTGATTGAATTGATAAATTATATATAATTTTATATACACATATGTAACTACATATATATATAATTTTATATATACATATGTGACTACATATATATATAATTTTATATATACATATGTAATATACATATATACATGTGTATATATATATGTGACTAACGACTATATATTTATATACATATATATTTATAAAATTAACCATTTCATTTAGTAAAGATCATTTAGCAGATTAAAAAATTTAATAAGGAATACCTGTACTGAGCCCATGGCCCCCTCTTGGCAACTAGGATGATAAGAGAAGCAAAGGAAAAATTACAATCAGAGGTTTTATAGCCAAAACAATCTAGTGTTCTTTAAGTGGCTCAAATAATCTGTCCTAAGAGAGCACAGAAAAGTTTAATCTCGTTAATCCAACTCTCATGTTCCAGACCCCATGGAACAAGAGTACACATACGGAATGATTACACTGCTCTCCTATACTAAGTTTGGGATTTGTTTTCTCATTCCAGCTGCTTGCTCACCTAAACACACCTTTGGTGCCATTTCGTTCTTGTTTTTTTCCCAGGCCAAAACCCCCAAGGATGCAGAAGCAGACCTGAACTTTGACTCTTACCATTCTACTCAAACTGACTTGGCCCCATCCCTGGGCAAACCTTGTGAAACCTCTCTGCCAGACTCCAAATCATCTCCATCTGTCTTAGCACATCCCTTGAGCAAGTCCACAATCAATAGCGATGTCAGAATTCAGCAGCTGCAAGAGATTTTGCAAGACTTGCAGAAGAGATTGGAAAGCTCTGAAGCAGAGAAGAAACAGCTACAGGCTGAGCTTCAGTCCAGAAGGACAGAATCAGTGTGCTTAAACAATGCCGAGATTTCAGAGAATGGCTCCGATCTCAGCCAGAAACTTAAAGAAACTCAGAGCAAGTATGAGGAGGCTATGAAAGAAGTCCTGAATGTGCAGAAACAGATGAAACTGGGCCTTGTCTCCCCTGAAAGTGTGGATAGCTACTCACATCTCCGTGAGCTAAGGCTCACCGAGGAAGAAATAGGTGTGCTAAAGCAGGATCTCCAGAATGCATTAGAAGACAGTGAAAGAAATAAAGAGAAACTGAGAGAGCTGGAAGAAAAACTTGTAGAGAGGGAGAAAGGTGTGGTTATCCGGCCCCCTGTGGAAGAGTACGAGGAAATGAAAAGTTCATATTGCTCTGTTATTGAGAATATGAATAAAGAGAAAGCATTTCTGCTTGAGAAATACCAAGAGGCCCAAGAAGAAATCAAGAAAGTAAAAGATTCACTAAAAAGTCAGATAACACAGGAGGCTGGTGATGAAGCTGGGGACATGAAAGAGGCCATGAACAGGATGATAGATGAACTCAACAAGCAAGTGAGTGAGCTGTCACAGCTGTACAAAGAGGCCCAGGCAGAGCTGGAGGATTACAGGAAGAGGAAATCTCTAGAAGACATAACGGCTGACTATATCCATAGAGCAGAGCATGAGAAACTGATGCAAGTGACAGATGTATCCAGAACTAGGGCAGAAGAGGCCCTATCCGAAATGAAATCTCAGTATTCAAAGGTGTTGAATGAGTTGACCCAGCTTAAACAACTGGTAGATGCACAGAAAGAGAACTCCGTTTCCATCACAGAACATTTGCAAGTGGTAACCACGCTGCAAAATTCTGTGAAAGAGATGGAGGTGAAAGTAAGTGGTCTCAAAGAGCACCTGGCAAGCAAGGAAGTGCAAGTGGCAAAGCTGGAGAAACGGCTCCTGGAAGAGAAGGCAGCAATGACTGAAGCAATGGTGCCCAGGTCTGCCTACGAGAAGCTCCAGTCGTCATTAGAAAGTGAAGTGAGTGTGTTGGCATCAAAATTAAAGGATTCAGTGAAAGAGAAGGAGAAGGCCCATTTAGAGGTTGTGCAGATTAGAAGTGAGGTCTCCCAAATGAAAAGGGAAAAGGACAATATTCAGACTCTCTTGAAATCCAAAGAGCAGGAAGTAAATGAACTTTTGCAAAAATTCCGGCATGCTCAGGAAGAGCTTGCAGAAGTGAAGAGATATTCTGAGACCAATTCAAAACTGGAGGAAGATAAAGATAAGAAGGTTGGTCTATTGCCATTGAGTTTCTAGAATTCTCAGTAGTAAGCCTGTGGACCTTCAACCTTTACTCTAACTAACATTTTTTAGCATTTGTTAGCACAAACTTGTGAATGCACAGAGGGTCCGTACATGACTCCATCTGTCCTCAAAGTCTTACGAAGAACAGTAGGTTGGCCATTTATTAAAAAAGAAAACTAACCTTCTACCAGTTCCCTTATACTAAAGCATCTTCACATATGTAGTACATATTTTCCCTTTAAAAATTATTTTACAGAAGTTCTGCCAAGTGTCAGGGATCAAAAGTGAACCCACAAACTGAAAAGTATGTGTGACCCTTCTTGAACTTCAACTCTTTTGGAATCCAGACAGATTCCTCCATCATATGGAAACCCACATACTCCAGATGTCATCCTGCTTACCCAGGCTCTGGGAGCTTTCCTGAGTCAGTATAAAAACTGCCTCCTAGCCCATTTTCAAAGGTGTATAAGAGGGGAGGGAGGAAAGTGGGGGGCAGGCTGTTGGAGGTGGGCTGGATGTGGCACGCAGGAAGGAGGAAAGCGAAGGGGCAGGTTGAGGTGGGTCCTGTGCTTGAGTCTGCTCTGCATCCCCAGTCCCCTGGGTCAGATGTTCCAAGTATCTTTGATCAGAACACTGTTTTATCGTTTATTCCTTTATCATAATGAATGTTTCAAAAAGAGCTTCCAAAGCCAAGGGGGCAGGAGGTTGGGGATGGCTGTGGGGGGTAGGGTTGTATTTACTTTAAAGGTGCCCCCAGGTATCAGGGTTCCTAGGACTTACTCCTGACTACTCATGTCAGCAATATGGAAGAATGTCTAAAATCCTGTTCCAGATTTATTTTTTCAACAGTATCCCTTTTCAGGGCAAAAAAGGAATTCAGTGTCATAGCTTTTGTTAACCTTCAGGCATGAAAACACAATATTCAATCTGGGGCTCTTATTTGAATATAATGGCCTTAGAGGGCTTTGTGGGTTTGCCTGATTTTGTTATCTCTTTCATTTTATGGGTTTTCTTTAAAAAATAAAACAGGAACTGTTCAGCCTTGAGTCCCAGAGGCCAGTAGAGGTGATGTTCAGGGCTTAGAAATATCTGGAAGTTTGCCTCTGCAGCCATGTCCTTGCCTGTTGATGTAGTTTTCCATTACCCCTAGATAAACGAGATGTCGAAGGAAGTCTCCAAGTTGAAGGAAGCACTGAACAGCCTCTCGCAGCTCTCCTACTCGGCCAGCCCGTCCAAGAGGCAGAGCCCACAGCTGGAAGCGCTGCAGCAGCAGACGAAACAGCTCCAGAGCCAGCTGGCTGTGAGTGGGCTTGGTTCCAGCTGGCTGGGGCGGGGCAGGGCAGCCTGGCCAACGCGGGGCTTGGACGGGCGCATTGCATCCTGCTCAGCTCTGGGGTGGGCTGGACTGAGCAGCCGGGGGCCAGCCTAAAGGAGTGCGGCACTTTGGTGACAGCCGACTGAAGGCTTCTTTGGAGAGGGCAAAAGAGGAAACCAGTGGAGTTCTCAGCCATCCGCGGTAGCGAGATGGGTTAGTGTGGCTCTGGGAGGGGAGGAATCGGCAGGCAGCGCTGGAAGCTTGTCCTCTCATCCACTCATTTCTCCCTTTCTCCATTTTTCTGCAACAGTCATTACCGGCTGGGGCAGTGGCAACAACTGTTTCTTATCAGGGGTGTGGTGGGTGCACAGCTACATATCTGAGCTGCTGCTTGGCCTCTCTCCTTACTTAACCCAGCAAAGTTCTTTCATATCTATATTGGTTTCCTATGGTTATTGTAACCCAAACTTGGTTAAAAACACGAATGTATTGTCTTAAAGTTCTAGGGATAGTAAGTCTGAAACTAAAGTCAAGGTGTCAGCAGGGCTGGTTCCTTCCAGAGGCTCTAGGGGAGAATCCATTTCCTTGCATCGTCTAGCTTTTGGAGGCCCCCGGAATTCCATGGCCCCTGGCACCTACTTCCATCTTCAAAGCACATCACTCCAACCTCTGGTTCTGTCCACTCCAGCTCCCATATCCTCCGTCCCCTTTTGACCTCACCTCTCTCCTGTGGTTATGCCTAAGGCACACCCAGATAATGGGGATAATCTTTCACCCCATCTCCAGATCCTTTACTTAGTAACACCTGCAAGGAATCTTTTGCCATATAGGTAACATTTATAGGGATGTGGACATCTTTGGAGGGCCATCATTTACTTAGCGTACCCCAATATCTTGTTAAGGTATTAGTTGACAAGGGTATGTCACATTTTCCTAGTCTGTCCTGGACTGTGTCTAGTTCCCATTCACAAACAGGACCTGGATTTTATGATTTCTTCCATATAGACTTGATACTGGTGAAGTGGGTCTGTGCAGTCCTCACTCTGGCTCACCACAAAGTACAAAACCAGCTTGTTTGTTCCCACTTCTGGCATTGGAGGAATAATCAAGAAGGATGATGCTCCTTCCTGTGTTCTGCAGGTCATTTTTCTGATGGAGTGGTTATCACAGACTTGTAGATAAAGTGCTAAGGTTTATACAGCCAGTCTTACAATTTTCAGCATGTATTTAATGAGCTCTTTTGTGTCAGTATTATTAAAGGTGTTGATATAAAAAAGAGTAAGACACAGTCCCTGCCCTCACAGAATTTATGCTCAGTACAATGGCTTACCATATTCTCAGTGTGGTGCACACCCGGTGATAGAGCTGGGGGGCCTGCAGAGGACATGTGCTCGCCCAGACTTGGAGGGGCTGGAAAGATTCCTGCAGGAGGTGATGCCTGTGCTGAGTCTTGAAGGGATGAGTAGGAGGCAGCAGGACTGAGATGCGGTGTTTAGATGGCCCTTGGTCACCTTGGCAACGACAGTTCCAGTGGAGTGGCAGGGTAGAACCTCGGCTGACTACAGCAGGCTGCCTGCCAGGGATGTGAATGAGCAGCTAGGTATCCGATGGGGCTGAAGATACATGGCAGGAGGCCCGGAAAGCCAGAGAAGGTTGGCTGGAAAGATAGGAGATGGTGGTCAGAGGGTGGGGTGTTTTCAGTTGAGATTTCAGAGGTTATGACAGGCAGGGTGGTGACCATGAGTGAGTGGCTGGAGGGAGGAGGAACAAGTCATGGAAGTTGAACTTGAGGAACTGAGAGGGGCCAAGGTGATAGGTGGCTTATGCATGTGGAAATTGCGGCCACCCAGTTGGTGATGTTGCCTGGATGGAAAGGAAGACAGTGACCAGTGGGCAATGGTACAAATGACTGAATGGAGGTAACCGAAAGGGGGAGGAAACAGCAGAGAGAGAGGTACCAAGTGCACCTTCTGAAGGTGTGAACTTCAAAGGACTTGACCAAGAAGGACACCTCCTATCCTACACTGCTGGGAAGGCGGTGAGAATAGGTATTCCTGGACTTCCATAGATGTTTGAAGTGATCCATATATGATAGTCTCAATTTCCATCAGAAAGTAAAAGGAAAGCTTTCTTCTTGGAAGAGTTCAGAGCTGTGTTCAGATCCTTGAAATAGTCGCTGAGAAGAACCAAAATGATAACAAACAGCAATACAAGCATGAACAGGTGTGCTGCGGAAGCATTTGAGATGGGTGCCCACCCTGTTCGCCACCCTGGCACAATGACAGCCAAATTATTGCATTCCCCAGGGATTATGTGGTGCTGGATATATAGTGGGTGATCAATACTTCCCTGGAAAAGAATGGATTTCTTTCCTAAATTAATAAAAACTCATCATTGTAGGAAAGTTGGGAAATACAAAAAACTCTGAAAATTTTCCTATAAATAAAAATTGCCCATAATTCAACCACTCAGAGACAATCACTTTTTGCATTTGATATTTTCCCTTTTCCTATTTACTTTGTGTGAATCTGTGTGTTTAATTAAATATGTTTATGATGTACATTGTTTGCAATAAATTTGGGATTACAATAACCAGACTTTTAGAGTTGACATACCAAGATATGAAATAGGTAGGCTTTTTCTCCCTAAGAATATTGACAAATGTTCAGAAATTCACAACCCAGTGAGCCCACAATAGTTTTAAATGTGTTTATATGCTAGCTTTTGGTGGGGGGAATCACTTGGGTAGCATTTGAATATAGCTTTCCATAGTTTTTTTAAAGGTCTCCTAAGCTCTTTAACAATGTCAAATTGTCTCTTTGTAGGAATGCAAGAAGCAACACCAGGAGGTCATATCAGTTTACAGAATGCACCTTCTTTATGCCGTGCAGGTACGGTGACACCCCACCCAGTATCCAGGTGTCCTAAAGAATGCTGCAAGAGATGCTGCCCAGAGGCCTGTGGTTAAACTGGTAGAACAAACAGGAGTTTGCAGAGAATCCTGTGCTTGGAGAGCTTGGAAGTGCCTTCTGCTTTGCTTTGGATTTTGTGTCAGGAGCTCTGTGCCATTTCCTGAGATGAGCCTCATCATTTGATGAGAAATGGAGGAGGACGTGGTTGCTGCCCCCTATCAGGAAGAGGAGCTGGGTGTTATTTTCCAGCCATGCCGATATTCGCAGGCCCGTCAGCACTGTCTCACCCCTGAAACTGTTGGGGTTTGGCCAGCTGGGCTCATGTTTGCAGCCAAGACCCCAGGAACCCTTTGCCCTATGGGGGCTCTGGTAGGCCCCTCCAGAGGGAAATGACCAGAACCTTCTCTGACTCAATTTCTCACAGTGGGAAATCGTAGGCCTAACATTCTTTTGGAACATCAGGGAGAAAAGCCAAGGGCTTCCTCCCAACCAGCCATCTCATTGCCTAGGGGAGACAGTTCCAAGACTTAACTTAGGTTCTAATGAGTGTCTCTGTTTGAATTTCCCAGGGCCAGATGGATGAAGATGTTCAGAAAGTACTGAAGCAAATCCTTACCATGTGTAAAAACCAGTCCCAGAAGAAGTGAAGTGGATTCCCTGGCAGGAACTGCCCCCTCACTGTCCATCCTTGCGGTCGATCAGGAGTTGTTGGCAAGCACTGCCGCTGTTCTCATGGTATGCACCATGACCTAGCATAGCTTCTTCCCTTTCCAGAGGCTTCTCTCTGAGGCCTGACTGGCCTCAGACTGTCCTCCTGACAAACTTCAAAGTAGCAGAGGTGAAAGGCCCTGCCATCCCTTTAGATTCCAGAGGCAAGATCAGCCACACCCCAGAGTCTGGTCCTGGTGCTGGCGGGTGGGCGCCCTGGGCACCCTCCCTCCCCAGTACTTGACCAGCCAGAGTGATGAGTTGACACCTCCACACAGTGAATGCTGCCTTGGTTCCAACATGCAGGTGTGCTGTTCAGCACAGGAGGTTGCTTTTTGCCTTTGATTTCCAATCCCCAAACATGTTTGAATTGCTAACCAAATTAGAATGGCACTAGTTATGCAGTGCATGTGTGAGACCCTTTGTCATGATACCCTGTGGATTTAAAAACTCCGATTCCATCTTTTTCTCCCATCTGCCTTATATATCACATTGCCCTGCTGGTCAATGTTACAGTTTGATAAGCACTATTCACTAAAATACTGAAGTTTAAAACAAAAGCAAATTGTCCTTGAAAGTTCTTTTTAAGTCAATTGTTGACACATTGCAAATTTTCTATGCAAACTTGCCTCCTGCTGTTATCTGTGAAGCTCAGGAAATCCAAACATTTGTGTTTCAACAAGGGACAGTGAACTGCATGTTTACAGCCAAAAGAAATGCCTCAGTTCTTAACCTCAATTTTTGAAAGTGTTTTTTTTCTCTCTACAATATTTTTATTGGCTCTTAAAGATGTTTTCATATCTAAAACCCTAAATAAGTGAAATTTACATTAGACTATATTAACAAAGTATTTTTTAGGTAACCATGCTTAAGACTTTTTAAAGATAGAACTTTTTCCTCCCAAGTTTTCAGCTATAGCAAAAGGTAGTTGTGTGTTCTAGGCTCAACCTGAGCTACCACCAACACCCTTAGACTTTCTGCCATTATGTCCTCAGAACTGGAGCACATTTCTGAAGGTAGTACATCCTTTTTTACCCATGGAATATTTTTGAATATCCAGCTCTACCAGTGCCCTTAAATTATCCCTGGAAGGACTATTCGCAGCCATCAGTTTTTCAACTTTGAAACTTAAAAATCCTGATACGTAAACATTGTGGTGCACAGCAAAGGTCTTGGGGGGAATATATTTCTGTACACTTTACTTTGAGGTTAAAAATGTTCCTAACTTGCTTGAACCTCCCTTATGGCACTGATCCTATTGAGGGACGTAAAGTGACTACAGAGATCTCCAGAGTATATAACTAAAAATGCAGGCCTGCTCCGGCAGGGCCCCATTCCAAAGGGCTGCCTGGGCTGAGGGCGCACGGCCCTCTCGGATGATGCGTCAGTCTGTACTGGGGGAAGACCGACAAAGCAAAGCGAAAATGGTTTCCAGGCTTGGTGTTACGCTTCTTAAGTTGTTTATAGTAATGCAATTCCAAAAATGCTCCAAAGAAATGTGAAAGGATGGTTTGTTGCAGCACTTCAGAAAACAGAACAACCCCCCTCTCCTGCCCCTGCACAGAAATGCTGCAGAGTATAAAACCTGAGACATTTTGAGGATGCCTGACACAATGTAGCCTTGTATCTTATTTCAGGATGCATATTTATTACAAGTATTCTTTCTGGTTAAATATTGAAAAGTTGTATGCTGTAGTTTAGCCTTTTGCCTTTGTAATTTACAGAACGTATCACAGAAAATAAAGTTTTGTTTCAGTTTTGCATCTCTGTCATTGATTTTTGGTGTATTCAGGAGCATAGCGGTATGGCTTCTGAAGACAGATCAATAGCATTTGGGGGTGATGGTTTTTACACCCTGCATTATGCTCAGCAAGGGGCAGTCGTCCACAGCCACTCACATATCACATTGTCTCCCAGTTCCTGGGTGCCCCTTGTACTCTGTCCCCCAGCATCAGCCACTTTTGGGCAGTTGCATCATAGCATGGTTCTTTCAAATTGCCTCTCAGTTAACCAGTGGTCTTTTTAACTATTTAAAAGCCTCCATTAGATTTTTTTTTCTCTTTTCTTTTTTGAAGAAAGCATACACATGTTTTGAAAAAAATCAAATACATTCTCCTATTACATTATGAGGATAATTCATTCCTGGAAAAAATACTATAAGGTGAATTCTCACAGGTTAAAGTCATAATTAAAACAACAAATGACAATGAAATGGGTGCAATTATTTACACAGGTAACATTCATCACAGTTCAACATAACAAGGCCATCTCCCTATACACAGCATGATGCTACTGCCTCAACAGCCCATTGCCCCTGCATACCAGCTACACACAACACAGACTTAATTAACCTTAAATGCACCCTTATAAAAAGGGACCAAAGAAATCAATGAAAATATTGCAAATGGTGAATGAGATTATTACCATTTAAAGTTAACAAGTGCATGCATCCTGAGAACAGAACTTAATTCAGTACAGAGGCCAACCTTTCACCTCAGAGCATGATTTTCTGGGGAGACTCAGCCAGGCAGTTAACCTAGATATAAACCTAAACCAGTTGTCTTACATGGGAATCAATGCTTCATATGCCAAAGTCGGGATATGAAAAGAAATTCTCATACTTTGATGTTTAGCTATCAGGTACTGTAGGACAAATGAAATACACTGAAAATCTCTCCCTCCTACTCCCAATCTTTAGTTCAGCTCTCCAGAGGCAACATCTTTTAAGGTTTTGGGGTGACCTGGGACATTTTATGTCTTTATGTATATATAGGAAATGTATTTTACTTTGCCTTTTAAATATAGAGGCATCCTTCATGTGCTCTTGAACCATACCTTTTCCACTCAAAATATCCTGGAGATGGTTCTGTCAGCAGTCTTTTTAATTGCTGCATAGTATTTCATGGAATGATTTCTGCTGTATTTTACTGAACTAGGTCCTCATCAATGGGCATTTAATCTGCTGCCAGTATTTTACAGCCCTAAAAATGATGTGGTGACTGTCCTATGTATAAACATCTTTACACATATGTGTGAGAATCATTTGGGTAATTTTCAGATGGCCCATTTTCACAGTAGCTTCTGTCATGTGATACAGAAATGCAGAAAAAAAGGATGTATTCAGCATCACGATGAGAAAGAATGGCCTTGTTCTTCACATTGGTTGAATAAGCTTCGTCAATTTGTTTTCCTTACAGACTGACTCCAAAACTTTTAATAATTAAACCCACCCTTCTTAAGATAAACACACAATATGCTGTATGGGGAAAATGCTTCTGGAATGTGCAAAGCACAACCTTTTGCAAAGTGGCGTAACTGGAATGTTGTGTGCTGACAGCAGCAGAAACTATCCAGCAATGATGGGGTGATGCTTTTTGACAAAGTTAAAAGACCGACTATGGGGCAGAGTGAGTTGGGAAAAGCAACAGATCAAGGCATTCACAGAGAAGTGAATTCATCAGCTCAGGGAAAAAGCAAGCATCACGGGAGTGTGGGGCTTATTCGTGAAACAAAACACAAGAGCTCAGTTGCTGATGGGTTGCCATAAGCAGGACATAGGAGCGCTTGAGGGAGCAATCAGTGTGGCTTCCAACAGGTGGAAAGGCTTCCTGAGGAGTAAGTCCCCAAGAGATGGAGGTGAGCAGAAGGAAGACAAGACATTCCTGCATATTCATTTCAAATTAAACCCTAAAATAGAAACAGTATATTGAAGAACTGTGACTGGCTGTACCAGATTATAAGCGAAGGGCATGTAGGGGAGAGAAAGGAGCAAGACACAGCCAAACAATGGAAGCTTCTAACAAGAGGTAGGCAGTAAGGGTTCCCCGTATGGCACCTCCAGATGTCTTTACCTAGGCATTGAAATCATGTTAAACACACCCTGGTAGGCAGAAAATGGCTCTCCCCAAAAGGTCCATGTTCTAATCCCAAGAATCTGTGAATATCTTATGTTATACAGGAGAGAGGAATTAAGTTCGTAGATAGAATTTAGGTTGCTAATCAGCTGACATTAAAGGAAATTAGTGTGGGTTATACAGGTGTGCCTCATATAATCAGGTCTCTTAAATTGGAAGAAGCAGAGATTTAAAGATGCTACACTGCTGGCTCTGAAGGAGGAAGAGGTCATGAACCACGGAATGCAGGTGGTCTCTATACACTGGTAAAGGCTTGAAAACAAAATTATCCCCAAGAAGCCCTAAAAAGAACCAGCCTTGCTGACACCTTGTCTCAGCTAAGTTCCAGCCAGTGCAGACTTCTGACCTCCAGAACTGAGATAAAAAATTTGCATTGTTTTAAGCCACTAAATTTGTGGAGATTTGCTAAAGCAACAATAGGAAACTGGTATACACACACTGAGAGGCCAGGATCCCTCAAATGGAGAGTTCCTGGAGATGACTCAGTTTATTAAATGTTAATTACACTGATAATAAGCCAGGCACTGTGCTGAATGGTAAAGGTCCAACGGTGAACATAGTAACTGCTCACAAGGAGTTCACAGATGATGAAACAGGTCCTGTCATTTGGTTTTCACTGGGAGGGTGAATGGATGCACATTTAGATGGATGAATTGCCTATACTATGGGCCCTGTATGACAAGCTCTTTTGCTGACCCACTCTCTCTCTCTCATTCTTAATCGCCCTTTTGCTGCCAGTCTTTGAACCCACTAACCTTGCTCTTGCCTCAGGACCTTTGCACTTGCTGTTAACAACTTAGAATGCTTTTATAGATTTTTCATGATTTGGTTCCTTATTTCCATGAGGTCTCAGCTCAATAACACCTTGTCAGTGAGGCCCTCACCATCACTGTGTAAGTTAACACACCTCTCCCCACATGCCCACATCACTTTCTAATCCCTTACCTGGCTTTGTTTTCCTCCATATAATTTGTCACTATTTGTCGTGAAACAAAACACAAGAGCTCAGCTGCTGACGGGTTGCCATAAGCAGGACATAGGAGCACTTGAGGGAGCAATCAGTGTGGCTTCCAACAGGTGGAAAGGCTTCCTGAGGAGTAAGTCCCCAAGAGAGGGAGGTGAGCAGAAGGAAGACAAGACATTCCTGCATGTAAGGTGCTTCACCTGGCTAAAGGAGGGAGGGAGTCAGTCCTGAAATCCAGCCCATCCTCTGTTCCCACACCTGTACCCCTTAATAGGGGGCTGAATCTACCTGGAGGATGAGGGTTTTTCCTAATTCACACTAAGTTGCTGCTAATCTTCTGAGCCATGTGCCTTTTTTTAACTTAGACATTGTATTTTTTTTTTTTTTTTTTTACTAGCAGCCCTTTTACTAGCAGCCCTGTTTTTCTTCACCTGGTAGAATAGAAGCTTCAGGAGAGCAAAATCTTTGTTTGTACACTATTGCTTCCCTAATGCTTAGCAAAGTAGCAGGCACATAGTAGGTATTCAGTAGGTGTTGTCTGGGTGGTGGGCAGATACCTGGAGAGTGTAAGAAACTCAAAAGTAAACAGAGCACCAATATAGTTGTGTGTTGTGATGAGATTGTGGACTGGATACTGTGGGAGCTCAGAAGAAGGTATTGAATCCTGTCTTCAGAAGCCAGAAAATGTTTTTAAGAAATACAGAGTTCAAGAGTTTTATTTGGATTTCCTTGTTCTTAAGTTTCAGTTTCTAGAGTTGGGATAACTTAGAGGTAACATTTGATTTGGGGTTGAAGATTCTACAGGTTTCCTCAATGTGATATGTGATCTCTGCAATAGCAGTTTGCCTTTTTTTACCTCAGAATCAAGGGAGAGAATATGAGTGAACCTGCTATAGAAAGCACCGTCCACCCAGATTCCATCCCAGCGTTAGCGAACAAACCTAAAGCACATTTACTATAACTAAGGTTTACATATGGGGGCAAGGTTAAGCTGGCAAGGAAAAAAAAATCAGAAGTTTGGAACTCTTGAGTCTTCAAAATTCTTTTAATTTTACTCTGATTTTACAGGTCCGGCAACATGCTTCTGGTCAGAGCTAATTAAATGGAAGTGGAACCACAGTGCCAGCTTTAGGAATAGGAATTCAGGGCCTGTTCTGGTACTGAACTTCCCTTTACAGTGATTGGCAAAGCCAGCGGTTCAGTAAAGAGAAGTTACATTTAATGTACTTAGTAGCAACCTCACAGCCATGTCCTAGAGCCACAGAACATTAACACTTTCAACTTAAGGGTAAAGAACAGGAAACTAGTTCTTCCTTTTTATCCCTGTGCATGTCAAAAATCTGTGACTCACAGAATTCTGGAAGGGTTTTTAAGAAAGCAAGTGGTACAAATGCTCATGTACAAATCCTCTCAGACAAGAGAACTGGACTCTTTCGTTGTGACTTGCCCCAGGCTACACAGAGTCAAAATCAGAACTTTGACATCTTGAAGCTGAGTTCATTGCTTGATCATTGCTCCGTGTTGGGAATTCTTTTAGATGAGAATAAAGGGGGATGGAGCTTTCTAAAATTTTAGCTCAAGAGTCTGAGGGTACACATTTAAACCTTAAGCTAAAAGGCCATCCAAGTTTTACTTAAGAGATATTTAAGCAAACTCACTTGAATTGCTTCTCCAATCTAACACCAAAAAGGCTATCTTGGCAGCCTTGGATCAATAGAAATTAAACTTCAACCTTAGAACTGGACAGAACAAACACCAAATGTGAACATCACCTTTGAAATTCTTAGGAAATATTTTCTTTCTCTACCAAACCTGTTCTTCTTTGAAATCACGAGGAACGTATCACTCCCAGCTTGACTTGTCATGGGCCCCAGTTCACTGTACGGTTCATGACAACACCCTCACGCCCAATCGCTGTTGTTCTTCCGGTATCGGCCACAGCTGCCTCTACACCTGTCATACTGTAGCCACTATGTGCATTTCAGGCCACCGAAAAGGGGGTGGTGCAAGAATTCACGGCTGCGTAACCTAGAGCTACGTGGGGTCTGCCAAACGTGCCCTCTTCCCTCGAAGATACGCTCTCAACTGCTAACCATTAATTAGCGCAACAGTTCTTAAGCTACTCACTCTAAGAAACGGCCCACTTCTTAAACTGCTCACTTTAAGCAAGGACGGTTCAAATCTTACAGGAAAGGCAACACAGACGGTGTCAGCACCGCCCATAGGGCTGTCTGAGCCTTTCCTCTCGGGTCCGGGTCCGGAGAGCCGGAAAGCCCAGGGAATGGCGGGGGTGCAGGGTGTGCCGAGGGGCGCGCGGGGCGCGGAGGGTCGCTGACTACAGCCGGGGAGGTCGCAGCTTTAAATCGCTGGGTCGTAGCTGGGTCCTGGAGCCCAGAGTTCTTTTGCGTCTCTGCACTTATCTCCTCTTCCTGCGTCTTCATCTTCGAGAGGTAAAGACCTTTTGAGAGAAACTGGAAGTTTCAGCCGCCGCAGAAGGAAGTTTAGGGACAAGCCTGAGGTCGCTTTGTCCCGCCCTCTGAGTCCGAAAGCCTACGGTGCGTTGGAAGCTGCTGCTGGCCGGAGCAGCCCGGCATCGCGTCGCCATGACTACAGGCGCGGGCCCTCCGGGCCTCGCGCAGCGTTCCGTTCCCATGGCAACCACTTTGTGCCCTGAGCCGGAACACGGCGGCTGGTGAGCTAGGCAAACCTGGCCGTGCGCCTCGCTTCTGCAGGGCACCCTTGCGGCCCTCTGAATGAGATCCGCGGTGGCCAGGACGCAGACGCCGCCTGAGGAAGTCGAGCAGCCCCGCCGAGGGGCCGGGAAGGCTAGTTCCAGGGAGTGGCTCCTGTGCCCTCCGCCAGGTAGGCTACTCAAGGCCTCCCTTGCAGCCCGTGTCCTGCTTTTCGGGGAACAGTCTCTGTGACTGGGTCCCAGTGCTCGGGATATGGCGTCAGGGTTTACGAAGTTAAGGCGAAACAACTGCGGAGAAAAAAGCGATTTGCACTTGGGAGAGAGGCAGGAGTTTGGTGTTATAATTCAGGGCCAAGTGGAGTCTCATAGAACATAGTTGAGGAGTTTTGAGATTTATTAGACTACGTATTTGATATTAAAGAATTCTTGTCAATATTTTGGTAAGATAATGATTTTGAGGTTATATTTCTAAGTTGATATCTTTTGGAGATATTTATGAAATATGAATTGATTTAATATCTTTGATTTACTTTGAAGTAATGTAGAGACAGAGTGGGTGGATGAGGAGCATAGGTATGAAACATGATTGGCTGTGATGAAGCTGAGTTGTTCTCAGGCTACTTTCGTATATTGTTTAAGTTTTTCACAGTAAGAGGTTAAATGAAGTCACTCTGGCTGTGATGTAGAAAGCAGACCATGAGGGCAAGAGTGGAAGCAGTTTCAAGGGGCTGTTGTGGTCAGCTGGGTCAAAGGCAAGGATGGCTTGGCCTAGATACTGACAGCAGCCAAGAGAGGAGCTTAGTTTCAGGACTTAGGAACAAGGTGGAGCCAGCAGGATGTCAAGGAGGACGTGGGGCGGGAAGGAGAGAGAAGAGGAGGTCAGGTGAATTCAGCCCTAACAGTGATAAGTGCAGGGGCTGGAGCTTTCCCTCATTTGCAAAAAGCACAATGACTTAATTTGCTCTCTACAGAACATCCAAGCAAACAAGGGGCAGATTCGCTGTGTGACCCTTTCGCAGATTATTTTTGGAGAAAAACATTGTAAGTGTGCACAGGCTTTGACCAGCCTGGCTTATGGCTACCTGACACTAAGAGGTGCTTGGTTTTCCCAGCTGGGCCTGGGCAGGGCAGCCTGGAAGGGCTGATCTGAGCCCACACACAAACAACCATGATTGGGGTGGGGATGACTGGAGGGGCCCTTTCTGAACCCATCTCACACCTTGTCAAGAGGAGGGAAAGTCCATGGATAAGCAGGCAGTGTGGCAGGGATCTTAGAAATATAGTAGTGATAATGATGATAGTTAATTTACTGAGTACTGGGTATATGCCAAGCTAGTCTCCTTTAATCCCCATACTCTTCCTTAGAGGGAAATACTATTGTTACCCTTGGTTTACAGGTAAGGACACTGAGGCACAGTGGGCAAAGGACAGAATCTGATGTACCAACCACAGGTCAGTAGCGGGAGGACAAGCAGGTATGCACACTCGGTATCTGGGAGGCAGACCAAATAACAGGACTTGAATTCCAAAGACAGCAGCCGGGTTCCTGGCTGAGGGAAAGAAAGAGCCTTCCTTCTAGAGAAATGGTGCTTCTGGAAGGTACTGTGGTACAGAAAAAGATAGGAATCCATTTTCTGAAACAAATCCAAATGTAAGTTCCATGAGGGCAGGGACTTTGCAGTAGAAGCTCAATAAACATTTGTTGACAGACCGATTGAGGAAAGAACACATTTCTGGAACCAAAGACTTGGCCAACTCAAGGCCCTCTGCCCCTTGGCCAGCTGTGTCCCTTTACATGGACTGTGTACACTTCTACCATGGAACTCATTTTACTGCCTTCTTCTGTGCCTTGTTTAAATGTCTCTGCCTCTGAAACAGAAGCTCCCTGAGGGCAGGGACTGGGTCTCACTGACTTAGCATAGTCCCTGGTGCACAGTATGGATCAGCCATGTTACTGCTCCATAGAACTAAGTTACTGGCCTAGGGCTTTTTCAAGTACCCCTTGGACCTGAGTCCTGAGGTGGGGCCTGACTTAAAGTACAACTTAAGTGATTTAAGGACTTAAAATATTTGAGGGCTGTTGGGGAAGGGAATCAATATCCTGAACCATAATGCGCCTAGATAACCAGAAATCAGAGCTTTTGAAAAAGTTAAAATTGAATTCACTTCTCAGTTGTTAACCCTAGAACATGTGCTCCTCCTTAGGCTCCTTGGGCCCTATTGAGCCCACATTTTTCATAAAACTTCAGATTCATTGGCTGTTGATGGGGCAAGACCGTGAGCAGTTGACAGCGGGGACCGTGATGCTGTGAGTCACTGAGGTCACAGTGAGGCCTTCCCCAGGCCTTAAGAACACATCTATTGTGTTCTGAGAGAAGGCCAACATGGCTAAGGAGAAGAGGGAGTCCTCACTTACTGGCAAAGCAGGCAGCTGTGTGTGTGATTTAAGGGACGTCCAGAAGGCCCTCACAAGACAAAATCTTACTGTAATGGGGAAATGTTGTCCCTCATTTAGAATTTCTCCGTTTCAGTCAGGATGATTGCTTCATTAACTTGTTGCCTTCATGATAAGAGCCAAATTTAACAATTCCCCACTTCAGCACTTAAAGAGCTTCTGTTATAAGTCTGATGGCACTGTGTGAGGCACCAGCGATACATAAATGACTCCGAGTTGCCCCTGCCCTCTGGGGGCACACAGGGGTCTACGCTAGGCCCCATAATAGAGGCAGGAACAAAATTCTGGTGACACAGATGAGGCAGATCAGTGGTTCTGCTACTGGGCGAGGAGGTTAGTCAGGGAAGGCTGCAGAGAGGTGACATCTGCCCTGTCTTTGAAGAATGTGTACTAGTTTACCAAGTAGATTTTGAGGGGAGTAGTAGTGCGATGATGGGCCTCCCTGCATGCTGTCTGTGGATTGAAAGGTGAGAGGAGGACATTCTGCATGAGACTCCCCACACAGTGTAGGTTTTCTCCAGACAGGAGGTTCAGATAGCGCAGGACACCTAGGACAGACAGGTCATGCCTTGTAGTGGGACGGCAAAGTCATTTGGGCCCAGGTATAAGGAGTTTGGGTGTTAATAAAATGTTTTAAGGGAGGTGGTGACATAGTCAAGCTTATGCTGTGAAATGAGAAATTCTGGAGGATGGGTTAGACTGGTAGAGAAAGTGGAGGTAAGTGGAGGTAAAGACCGGTTAAGCAATTATCCTGCCCAAAGTCAATGAAGTCATTGGTGATGGCAGTCGGAATGCAGAGGAAATAATGTTTGGCATTGGTGACATTCTGTGGGCAATACATATGGGGTGAGAAGCTGAGGGAAGAGCTGAAGCGGAACAGGGCATGATGTGGACAATGAGCTGAAACAGAGAACTGAGGAGGAAGAGCACACTGATGGGCGAAGGAGCACGAAGCTGCGGAGTTTGGTTTCCCACAGGCTGTGTCATGGCCAGTGTGAAGCACCTTGGAACACCCCTGCGACATGTTCGGAAGGCGCCTGAAAAGTGGGTCTAGAGTGCAGGAAAGATGTCATTTGGGGAGAGGGATTAGCAAATAGGTGCAAGTTGAGGAGTGGGTGAGCTTGATCAGAAAACATACGTAGAAGGAGAGGGAAAGAGGGCCAAGGACAGAAGACT